GTACAAAATGATTAACAGTGGCCTTAAAAAAAAAAAAAAATTAACTTTAAGTCATTCTGCAGTTGATTCCAATCTGAAGAAGAAGCAAACGGTGAAGATTGTTTGCCATTTTCCAATGTGAACATGCATGCATTTAAATTATGTCACCCTAATCTAAAATGAGCAAATAAAGTATCAGCAATAAGATGTTTCCTAGCCTTAAGTATTAAACAGAAATAAAATAAAACAGCTTCAATTTTGTTACAAGCTGGGACCAAAACCCAGGGAATAATCAGGTATCAAGCCTAGATATTTAAACTGAGACACAACCTCAATCTGATGACCTTAAAAAGTAATAGTGCGCTGCATTATTTGTAATATTACTTTTTGTAAAATTTAAACTTAGCTTTAGATAGCTCAAACTGGACTGCACCACATCAAACGCTGCTTGTATTAAGGTTATCAAAAGCACTTTCAACTTTGTTGCCAGCATAGAAGACAATGTCATCTGCATAAAAATGAAATTTAGCATGCAGATTATTTTTCGCCAAACTGTTAAGATAGATTATAAAAGAAGGTAACCTGGGATAAAACCTTGTGTGTCATCTTTGGATACTTGAAGGCAAGTGGAAAACTGACGTTCCACTTGCTCACACTGTGACCTGCCGGATAAGTAGTTTTGAAACCATTCCATGGAATTACAAGAGAGCTTCATGTCAGAAAACCTTCTCAGCAAGATTTTGTGATCATCTGTGTCCAAGAATTTTGATAAGTGAATAAAAAGTGCTGCAGTAAGTTTTTTATATCTACAAAACCAATTAAATCATTTCAACAAGTATTGGATTTATGCTACATTTATCATATGTAATTAAAATTAACAATGATATCAAACATCATATTATGCATATTATCTCATTAGAAATGTGCTAAATTGGGATAAATTTCATATTTTACGGATGATTTACAAATACAGCCTCAATCCTTTAGTTTCCAAGTTTAACCTGTAACCCTTTTTATGGGTTACAAGGCCATTAGCTTGAGTCCTCTGCCAAATGGGACATCCTACCCCTTCAAAACATAAGGTTAAGAGTGAGGGTCAGTGATTTAGTGATTTAGTCTTACTTTAGGCGTTAGGTGTACTTACAAACATGTAGTTGCAGACGTTAATATAAATCTCTCCACTTAGCAGTTATCTGATTCTATTGTAAAATTCATACCAAAAACCAAATGCCAGGTTATAAGATAGATGCAAAGATAGGTAATATAGATATCCGTGACAGGGTTACTATAAAACACAATTTCTGACATTTCTACCGCATTCAGGTCTTTCCCACAAAATTCCTGCATTTTGTGTTCCCCCATCCAATGATTTTTCTTCTCTAGAAAAACGTCTTTAGACAGACCACACTTTGACAAAAAAAACTCCCAAAACTACAACTTTCTCTGCATAGGTTCCCATACCACACACAACATTTAGTTAACAAAATATTTTATAAACAAGATGATATCACCCCTACACCGACCCCCCCTCCATGATATTAATATGATATGTTCTCTGATCTGTAAACAGCTGGTTATCTTGCTTTTCCACGATAAGAGAAAGTGCTGAGGATTTACGCTCGGTGAGCACATTTGGGCTGAATCTTTCACACGTCACAAATTGCAGATGGGAAGCAGTGATCTTGAACAGCCGATCACATTTCCGTGACCATCTGACACCTTCCATTTAGGAAAATAATACTTTCTATCTTAGCATACCCCTCTGCAGGAGCCAGCCAAAAGGAATTATGCCTGGTAGACTTTGCTCTTCACAACTTTGCTTTTCTTTGTTTCATTGCACTGATTGGATTAAATGCTCGGTCTTTATTCAGTTATCCAAGGATATGGTAATACTGACATGATTATTTTTCTGTTTTAATATCCCAATGTTATACAATCATAAACAAAGTGTAATGTAGTATATTGCAAATAGTTGTTAGCTTATTACTATATCATTGGCACACAAGATTGCCCTTAAAAGGCTGTGCAAGAAACAGTTTTTTATAACTCATTTGTTATTCATTCTAGTATCTCCTCCTCCTGTTTCCATAATCTTGGAGACAAAAAAAAAAAGACTTTTAAGAAACAGAGGTAGATATGGTATCTGAGTAATATGACAGATAAAAATGAGTCGGGTTAACTGGTACAGAGAGTTGTAAATCACTGTAGTGTGATTCTCAAAGGGTTTAATTAGTCTAGAAATTTCTCTCTTATCTGATGACCCCCCCTCCTCCTCCTGCACACTGCAACAACCTACAACCATAAACGCCCTGCAATCTGAAGACCAGCGGCCTCAGGAGACTGAGTTGCTACAAAGAGCTGAAAGAGTTGGAAATGGTCATTTTATTGCATTAGAATAGCTCGCCCGAGACTTGGCTAATGTACTGCTAACTGAGAGCTAGTAAAGATAACAGTATGTGGCTGCAAAGTGAAGTATGGTGAATTACTGTACTGCTAGTGAGGAGTCCTCTTAGAATGAGGCAACACAATATTGGTTGTGTAAACAACAAAATCCGTACTTGTCTGAAACTTCTAATTAGTATTGCAGTGCTACCCTTTTCGTTTTGTGATAATGATTTTTATATTAATTTTTGAGATGAAGTGCACAGTCTGATCAGTCATCTTGATAGAGTTCAAGAAAGAGGGGGATATGCTGGCTGCATGCCTGTCAAGCACCCAAACATCAAACAATGCTATGGCTCTACTGCTATATATTAATATATATATATATATATATATATATATATATATATATATATATATATATATATATATATATATATATATATATATATATATATATATATATATATATATATATATATATATATATATTATATATATTTGGCCCATTATTGCATGACAGTAGCTTTGCGCTGCTCTACTTCATAGTAAATGAAAAAGCCCATTTATCCCTGTCTGTCAATTTCAGAACTTGTGAGGCAACTGTCACAACGGGTCCCATGGGAGTCCCGCATGTAAGTTTATTTACTCTAATTGAGCTCTGGGTTTAATTGACAGTTTGCGGTCCTAATAAGTGGTACCTGATTTTTCCACGGGTGTGTTTAAAGACAGTATCTCACTTTATAAATGAAACTTACAGTCATTGGGTCCTGTGTCTGAAGTGACATTTGTGTATTTTTTGTTTACAACGCTGGAAATTAGGTCACAATAGATGTACTTGCAAACAGTTAAGACAAAGTATTAATTTTCTTTACTTTCTTAATTTTGATATTATGAGAGTAGAGAAATATATTCCAACAGCGTTTTTCATATCCTGTGATGTAATTTTGGGGGAATTGTATGTAAAATAAATTAAAAAAGGAAAACTCAATGTTTAGGCTAAATACAAATTATACAAATATCTAAGAAAAAGATAAAAAATCACGCATTTATGTGAAAGCCTTAGAGGTTTATTAGTGAACATTATCAATAATAAATATCATAAAGAACAGAGCTGACAGAGTATGGATTAAGTTGCAAACACTTTTAAAGGAGAATTAATTGATTAAAAAAAAAAAACATTCAAAGTTTTGAACATCCCCATGTTTAATTTATTATTCAAAGTTGGAGGGAGGGATACAGGGCAATCCATATAAGTACTAATCAGACAAGGGGTCAAGGGGCCCACGTTAACTTTGGAGGAGCTGCAGAGATCCCTAGCTTTAAATGAATAATTTGTTGGTAGGACTATTACTGACTTTGTGAAGAATATAGCTCTCTAAGCCCTGCTTACAGCAAATCACAAGCCATGTAGTAGACACAGCAAACATATGCAAAAGGATGATTAAACCAAAGCATAACTTTTAATGTTTGTGCAAAATTCTATGTGTGACAAAAAAAAAACAAACAAACAAAAAAACCCCTAGACATATTCTTGAGCACACGATCATCATACTGAAACAAAGTGGTGGCAGTATTATATTGGGGGAATTTAATAAGTCCTTAAAGCCTGCATAAATAAATAAATAATTAGATACGGAAATATACATCCAGCAGTGACGGGATAATTTCCAGGATTCGTCAGTTTTTAGCTAAAGGCATGTTCCATTTAACTTGATCAGATCCTTTTTCTCTGCTGAAGAAAGTATTCCCACAGCATTATGCTGCCACCACCATGTCTTGTTTTAGAGCTGCATCCACAAAATGAGAGTAGATAAATATGTTTTATCTGAAACTGCATATTTCAATAAATGAAAGAATATATGAATATTAAACACACTACTTTGGATTATTGGATAATGAATTGAACAACCTGATTAAATATGACTGTAGCTGATGATAGGACACTCTGTGTCCTTGTTTCTCTATACTTTGCATCCCTTTGAGAATGTGTGCTGTTGTTGCATGAGATGCAGTAATCACATGTTCCCTTAAACTTTACCAGATCCCCTTTCTCTGCTGAAGAAAGCATTCCCACAGCATTATGCTGCCACTACCATGTTTTATATTGGAGCTACATCCATAAAATGGGAGTAGATACATTTGTTTTCTCTGAGACTGCATATGTCTGTAAAGTGAAAGAATATGTGAATATTAAACACATCACTGTGGATTATTGGATAATGAATTGAACAACCTGATTAAATATGACTGTAGCTGATGATAGGCCACTCTGTGTCCTTGTTTCTCTAAACTTTGCATCCCTTTGGGAATGTGTGCTGTTATTGCATCAGATGCATTTGTCACAGGATGAAAGGAAGAATTTAAATGATTATCACTCCACAATATAAACACTGTATGTACAGCACGGTGCATGCAATTCATTATACTGATGCAAAACTTGTGTTAGTGCAAAGCATCTTCTTTTGAAGGACTAGCAGGAGCAGAATGAGATGAGGGGGTTATTTTGGCGATGGAGATTAAGGCAGGGGCTTTTTGTCATTTGTGCGAGACAAGCCATTCATCCATCCAGTTCACAGCCAAAAAAAGGCTGGTCCCAGAAATTAGCAGTTTCAGCTCAGCAGCAAAGTCGTCGGGCTGTGAAGGCAGAGAGAAATTGACTAATTAGCAATGCGCACTAAAACTTGACGGTTCTCTCTATAACAGCGAGGGAAAGAGTCGGGGTTTTTCTCCCCCCTTTTCTCTCTTCCAAAGATGTTTGAAATCGCAGTCATTTACGCTCGACAGTTTTTACAATAGCCTTGAGCCATAATTTTGCGAGTCTCTCCAGCATCCATACCCCTGCATGGTCTCTCTCCACCGGCCATGCACGACCGTTTCTCTCCCCAACCGTGGATTTCCTATTACTCTCGTTACGACTCACTGAGCCCCAGGCCCAAGGATAATGATGTGTTGTTTCTTGGTAGCATAATTTGTCACACGTATATTTCTTCTTCTTCTCTTGCAGAAAGCACAGCTCCCTCTCATACACTCACACACTTCTTGTTAATTCAGAAGAACAAATGATCAACGTCAACAAATAAGCTGAAATAGTGACTTTAAGAAGTGGAATCAATGGTTATTTGGAGACATCTCGAAACAAAGACTTTAAAGGAAAGGGATATTCTTTAAAAAAGAGAGAACAAAGGAACATTTGGAAGATATCTGGACTTTCTTTCTCTTTTTTTTTATTTTGTCGTGAAGAGCAGAAGTCAGGTAAGTTTGGTCTCCCTTCTCAGGAAAGCTGCTGGCATCGTTTAGTTGTGACAGGCGCTTTTTAGGAACGGCACGTTTTGGGTTCAAGTTTACGCACATTCAACCAGCCTGTATGCAATCGTTAGAAAAGAAAATACGATGCGCAATGTGTTTTAACTTTCCCGACAAAAGCATTTTTTCCTATTTCCCGAATACTCACGTCCGTTTTACGCCCGCGCTTCTGCTTCTGACGGCTCGGAAACAAACTAATCGGCTTTTTATTTGACTCCGTAAATCAGTGTAATGTTCTCAGCGTGAGGGGTGTCTGCTCTGAGACCGGAGAAAGGGTATGTTGGAGCTGCATATTGTCCGTGGCGCGGCGGCGGCTCTCTTCCTCCAATCCTCCCTGATTCAACTTCAGCCGCACCAAGCAGAGGAAAAGCGCCGCAGCGGCTCTCCGGCTGAACACACCTCCATCTCCGGATTAAAAAAAAAAGCATCTTGCATTATAGTTGAGCATGCATAAGAGCGGCGCTTTGTGGAAAGCATTGCTGCGTTTCTGTTTACTGCTTTACGACCAGATCTCAAAGTTGCGCGCAGGCGGCATGTTTTCCACCCCCCGCTGCTTGGATGGGAGATAAGTTACTGAGAAATCTCTTATAGTGTTTGGAATATTTGATTTGTAAATGAATGGCTGGCGTGGTTTATTTGTTGCCTAGGTGGAGTTCAGAGGCAGGAAGTCATGTCCAGATCGGGTGATAGAACATCCACCTTTGACCCAACGCACAGTGACACCTTGCTGCATGGGCTCAACCTCCTGTGGAGAAAGCAGCTTTTCTGTGATGTGACTCTCACTGCTCAGGGACAGCAGTTCCACTGCCACAAAGCTGTGCTGGCATCGTGTTCGCAGTATTTCAGATCCCTCTTCTCTTCCCATAATGTTATTAGCAATGAGGGAAGCAAGGGAGATCAAGGCAGCAGTGGGACTCCCTCTTCCTCCCCTGATGACAAGCTGGTGACCACCAGTGCCAGGCCCATCAATAACCTGGTCCTACAGGGCTGCTCCTCCATTGGACTACGCTTGGTTTTGGAGTACCTCTACACTGCCAATGTTACTCTTTCCCTAGACACAGTGGAAGAGGTGCTTTCAGTCAGCAAGATCCTCAACATCCCCCAGATAACCAAGTTAAGTGTGCAGTTCCTCAACGACCAGATCTCTGTGCAGAACTACAAGCAGATCTGCAAGATTGCTGCTCTGCACGGGTTGGACGAGACCAAGAAGCTGGCCAACAAGTACCTGGTGGAGGATGTGCTGCTGCTGAACTTTGAGGAGATGTGTGCCATGCTGGATGCCCTGCCTCCACCGGTGGAGTCAGAGCTGGCTCTCTTCCAGATGTCCGTCCTCTGGCTGGAGCATGACCGGGAGACACGCATGCACTATGCTCCAGACCTCATGAAGAGACTGCGGTTCGCCCTCATACCTGCACCAGAGCTGGTAGAGAGGGTACAATCTGTGGACTTCATGAGGAGTGACCCTGTGTGCCAGAAACTACTTCTGGATGCCATGAACTACCACCTGATGCCATTCAGGCAACACTGCAGGCAGACCATGGCAAGCAGGTGAGCACAACAGAGGAAACAACATAGAAGCTCATAGACAATAATGAAAACTGAGTGATATGAGTGCAATTAGGGTGTTTGGATATGACAAACTCATGTAAAGAGGGATCACTCAGAGTTGTAAACGATGTTTTAGAATATGAAGACAGTGGGGCGTTTCCTTTAAAACAAGACTCGTTGTTTGGAGCTTTAAAGCATGCTGTAGGGAGCTTCATTCACGGTATTGAAGCTGACATGGGTCTTACATATAGTAATATAAAAATTAACTTATTTTAGACAACTATACATGGGATGTAGAAATCTATCAATTTTATGTAACCGACAATAAGCGGCTTTAATAAATGGAGCCTGAAAAGCTGAAATTGAGTTGTTGCCATGGTAATTACATGATAATTGCATAGAATTTATGATCCAAATGAAAAAGTTTCTTTCTGGTACTGAAATTACATGAAAAAAAATGGAAACAATAAAAATAGGAGAGTTGTGCTTTTGATATAACATTTTTGTAGCCTTTGTAGTTTTACTGCTCTGTTCAAAATATCGTCACATGTTATGTTCATGTGTGGAGTGGCAATTTAAAAAACTGCTTATAGTTAGTGGTCACTTGTAGTAACAGGAGTGAAATTCCTAAATTTTCCTTTGTAGCAATTCGATTACTTATTTGCAAGAACAGCAGTCTTATTTGGGCTTTTATCATTTATACAGCTCTTTTTTTGTTGATATACCATCATGCAACTCATATCTATGCCCCACTTATCCAAATAATAAATCAGTTTCTACATATTCACACAAATGTGCAACAAATCAAGAATCTTCTTAATTAGTATGATTTAGTTGTGGCTCTCTATTTGCAATTAATCACTATTATTAATGTCTGAGACCTCATTTGCAGATGAATTACTCAAAAACGTTTCTAAAATACTTTCATATTAGTAGATATATTCAAAGTCTACAACAAATAAAAAAAAGTAAAACAGAAGGCAGATAAAGGGTTTCAAAGGCTAGCATAAGTTAGTGTTTATGGACGTATTGTAATTAATTTATAGAACTGCAGTGACATTCATTGGGAATGCCACAATGGTTATTTATTTACAGTAAAGTGTGCATCTTTCAGATTTTATTTGATCGATGAAAAGCAGGAAACATTTCACAATTGGGTTAAAGAAGTCACATGAAGGGGTATAGCCAATGAAATGGAGATAGTCTATAGGCAGGTTTATGTTCTGTGCTGTGTTTTTAGCCTCCAGCAGGGCACCCTGCAGGACCATCCTCGCTTCACAGCTAATTGAAAACACATCTTTAGTGTACAATAACCATTCAGTAACACATCATAAGGATATATAGGCGATTGAGCAAATTTGGCTAATTGTAATGAATTTGCCCACATATCATCGAATAACTTACCGTAGGTTAAATTACCGCAGTCCATTTATCCTTAATGTGTTATAACTGCTTTCATGGTATGGGAAAGTAGGAACTTTAAAAGTCAAACAAAAGCTTAATGTGTAGATCAAATAATTTAGATATGACCTGATTTTTTTATACTATTTTTCCCCCTTTCCTTAAAAACCTGCATCCTTGGCTTTGCAGAATCCGTTCCAACAAGCGAATGCTGCTCCTGGTGGGTGGTTTGCCTCCTGGACCCGATCGTCTTCCCAGCAATTTGGTCCAGTACTATGACGATGAGAAAAAGACATGGAAGATCCTCACAAGTGAGTTAGCAAAAAGCCTCTTGCCTCCTCTGCACCCCAGGCATCTTGTTTCAGTGGCTATTATGATAAGAAATAGTTGTTCCTGTGGATGACTTTAACACGGGTTAATTTCCACAGAAAATGAGAGTAAGGAGTTCCCTAAATCCTTCAGGTAATAATGTATCACCATCACTTTTAATATAAGTTTTTAATCAGAGCGTGACTTCACAGCATTGTGGAGTTTCATGCCCGGGTTCCCTTGTTTTTGCTGAAATACGCTGGCGGGATGCATGATGAGATTTGCTTGGATCTAATGATCTATTGCAGGCAGAGATGGAACAATAAGAAATGACATCTGCCCTCGATAGATTCTAAATGTAACATGATTTTTTTTTACTCACACTGATCAAGGCTTAAATTGAATTACGCTGTACATGCTGCTACATGAGGTGGCAGTTGACTTCTTGACCTTGTGTCACTTAGAGACAGTTGCTAACTTCATGCACATATTAATTGACTTGATACAACAAATAAGTCATATATTAATTTAATGTTTAAAAACTAAGTGGTCATAATTTGTATTGTTTTGAAGAAATGTTGGGTCTGAGCAGAAAATATTTGAGACCTTTGAGAATGAGCAAACACATCCATATTGCTTCCACCTCCTTGGAGTGTACTTATCTCTTCTCTCTGTCTTCTTTGACCTTTTGAGGCTCAACACTATATTGTTGCCATACTGCAAAGGTCAGAGCAGAGCTATCGGGAAACTACATTTCTTCTTTGCATCATCATTGGTGGTCATATTGAGTTCTTGTCCCTTGATTTTCTTAGAGTCATATCTCAGCCCTTTGTGTTGTGTCATTTTCATTGGGTGCGGTGGAGGTTTATAGCTTTACTTTGTGAATCAACCATTAATGAATCTGCTCTGACTTGTTTTGCTCTTTTTGTCTGCACCTTGCTAAAAGCCCTTACATTTTAATGCACAAATCTGCTGTTTAAACAAATTTTTGGCCTATAACAGTTTATTTTTTCACCAGTGGAGGCATGTGTATGATGTTCACTGGCGTTTGAAGTGTATTGTCCTTATTAAAATTACTCTCATGGGTGTAAACTGAAAATAAGCAAAAGGTCAACAGGGATTTCTGTCGCTCATGACTAAAAAGTTAACACTCAAATGGGCCGTGGCCAAGTGGAAGGACAAAACTGCAAAATCATCCCCTTAACACATCAGTGACCACCTGATGTAGCTTCCTCACAATGGATGTGGAATAGAAGATTATTAACATTCAATCATAACTTTTCAATGAGGCGAAACCTGAGAGGGACAGCCTTTGATTAAGACATTCATCAACACAATTTAGGCAGAATCTGATTCCCCTCGCTGTGTCAGAGATGCCCGTAGCTCGCTGTTTCTAGTGGAAAGTTTGCCATCTAGTGTACCCACGGCAGCGTGGCCAAATACAAGACAAAGACAGGGAGGGATTCAGCGTCTAATTCAGGGCAATATTTATCTCCCTTCTTAAAAAAAACTTTAATTTTGTCAATCTAAAATGTGGATTTTGTATCTTGCCTTGATGAACACAGGGATTCAGAGCTGGATTTCATGGTGTTAGTGTTAAAGGCACATAAGAGCTTGAGCAGCAGTGGTGCATTAGCTGTGAAACCATTCAACCAACCAGCACTGTGCCTTCAATGCAGAGGCTTCTGACTCCCTCTAGTGAGCCCTAGAGCTTATTGTAGACTGCAGTGATACCCATCTTATGGAGGACCTGCTAATTCTGGTGTCTAATCCTGAATGGCTGTTGACCCCTAAGGGCCAGTAGAAGGAAAAGATCAAATACAGCAATACATTTAAAAGACCCTGTAAAGGCATTAATACCTCATTAAATCTTTGACATTTTGTCGCATTACAACTACAAACCTCAGTGTTGGTCTGTTTCTATTAAACCGTGTGTGATAGATCAGCACATCATAGGAATAAAAGTACCCCCCACTCCCAACCCATTCCTACACTTCAAGCCTCTCTGATTTATTCCTTTACAGTACCTCTTCCTATTCTTTTCTGTCAAATAAATGAAGAAACTTCAGACTGGTTGAACTGTAAATTTTAAGTCTTACTTGAAAACCTCAATTAGATTGTATGTCTGGTCTTTGACTGTTCCATTCTAAGATGAGGATATGGTTTAAGCTAAGCTATTCTGCTGATGCTCTGAGTATTTGTCTTGGATGGTTTCCCTGATTGAAGAAAAAAACTTTCTTCCAGCGCTAAATCGTTTAGGGCTTCCAACAGGTTTCCTTCCAGATTTGCCATGTATTTAGTTTTCAGAGTTTTCTGATCAGCTCTAACCACCTTTCCTGTCCCTGATGAAGACTATCTTCCCCATTGCATGATACCTCCCCCACCATGTTTAATGGATTTGGTATACTTATGATTGTATACTTTGTTTTTTTCCTGGCACACATATTGGTTAGCATGTCAGATGGTTTAGTTTTGCACCCATGTGATTAGGGGACTTCTTCCACATTTCCTGAAACTATAAAAATGACTTTTTTTGCTTTGTTGTCACATACAATTTCTTCTTTTACCATCTATAAAGGCTACATTTGGAAAAATTATTGTTTTTTTCCCCCCATGTGTTTCATAACTCTCTTAGCCCCAATGTATTGGCAGGTTTGCAGGTATCTTATCCTTTTCATTGTCAGATGACGGACTGTACAGTGCTTTTAAAATGTTTGGGATATTATTTCATAACTTCTTTATAACTCTCTTCCTGACCTGTCTGGTATGCATTTTGTCTCTATGATACTAATTGCCCTGTGATCATCTCAAATCAGCAAATCAGCCCCAGCAGTCTAGCAATATTTCAGCTTAGATTATATTAAACGCAGAAGAAAAGACATTATTTCACTGCCAATCAAGTAAAGGAAGAAAACCGTCCTTCCTTACATTTCACAATTATATTTTGAACCCTATAGTTTGTATTGTGACAAAATGTGGAATTGTATGATTGGTTTAAAATTGCAACACATTTCTTTTTGCAGTGAGTGACACATGTATAATGTAATCCTGATTGCTTCGCTCTTCCTCGTTATAAAAAAAAAAAAAAACATTGTTGTAGTTTCCTTATATCTTTACCTTATATTACTCATCGCCACAATTTTTCAGATCTTTTTCAGGTACCTTAAACTAAGTCTCTTAGGCATAGACTGATAATCTTATCCATCAGTACATTTTTTTTTTTTGCAAGTACAAGTCACTACTGTAGATGGTAAATAAAAAGTTGCCCATCCGTGTCCTATATACTGCTGACTGAATGATAATGTAAATAGCATGTAAGGGAATTTGGCAGTTGTATGGAAGCTCTCTTTGAGGTGCACTCAAGGTAGGCAACCTAATCCCCCTCGTCTGAGATAAAGCTGTGTTTAGTGTATGTAGCATTAGTTCCTATCTGAGACTTCCCCTCCTTCAGAGGACCAGCACATGTCATCGAGCCTGAGTGAGATTGCAGGGAGAGGCCAATTGGAAAGAAATGAGATTCAAGGCTGTCTAATTTTGCAGCAACTGTGATCCATCAGGCGGTGGGGAGGTGACAGTGGAAATGACTGATGGAGACAGACAGGTGGGCTTTAACATTTCACTGATTTGTGCTCAAAAAGCACCGGGCCCGAGATTTATTGAGTGAACACGATCATGTTCATTATGACTGTCACCTAAGACCATTTCTCTACATCTCAATGGGGTCACTTCAGCAGAAGAAGATGGAGGAGAAGCATGGAGCACAAAAAACATACATAGAAGAAAAATCCTCCCTCAGCTACAGTGGATGTTTAATGTCAAACCATGCAAACATATTAAACAGCGGACGTCATAGGCTGGGGTTTCAGTCTACTGGAGAGATGTAGTATATCACTTGTAGATTAACTGCTTTGGCATATTTTGTCAGAAACATGCATGAACACTGTTACTTTGTTACCTTGTTATCATAGTAAAATCCATCAACATAAAGGACTCATTAAGTAATAGAATAATGAAGTCTGAATTTGACAGTTTTAGGAATCTAACAATATGTGAGCTCTACAGTTCATCACCAAAGATCCAACATTTATCCTTACTTTACTTCAAACACATATTGCACCACTCCGCTTGACAGTTTTCTGGCATTTTCCTTCAGAAAACCAGTTTTGTTAATATTAAGGTGGAACTTTACACAGAATTACAATCACCATCCCAACATCAACTTTTGCAAAATGAGAGCTTGGTAGCCTGGCATATTTCTAAGACCATGCATGCTGCTTCACATTTGAAAGAATCTATTTTAACAGATGGACGCCCTTCTCCAGCTTTCGATTTCCTTACCTGATATAGATTTTACTGACCGGTATGCTAAAGATCATGGATATTGATAGAAAAATTGTGATAATGGAAAAAAAAGAAAATAACTGTGTAAATGTGGCTTCGCCATATACACCATATTGCCAAAAGTATTGGGTCATACCACCAAATCATTGGATTCACCACTTCCGTGGCTGTGTGTTTATAAATGTGATGGTATGTGATGTTAGAGAAACTTGACTGGCCTATAAAGAGTCACGGTCTCAAACTTTTAGAACACCTAGTGATGAATTAAAGCTGATGCTGCAATTCCAGATTTCCCGTCTAACTATGATCAACCTCCTGCACCTTTTGGAAGATGTTTATGAAGCTGCTGTTCCTTTAAAGCTACAGTGTGTAATAATTACAGGCATATAAATTCAGAAATTTAATATATTATACATAACTATGTTATTTATCATCACCTATGAGCTCAGCCTTTTAACCATAACATTTGCGTTGCCTTAGAATTCGTTATTTATAATTACATAGGAGCGGGTCTCGCAGCCATGGAGGCTGACATCTTTGCGCTACGGCAGCGCAGAGGCAACAAACTAGCGATTGCGAGATCTCCCATGACGCTCGAAAATAACTACGGCAAGTTGAGAGAGATGAACTGAGACGGTACTGAACAGTAGATGGCAGTATTATGCCTGAGAAGCGTTTAGTCTGCCTGAAACCAAAGAAGAAGAAGAAGCAGGTATACTGCGCCTCGGTAACAAGAAAGGTGAACAAGGCGGCAGGCGTGAGTGACTTTGCAAACTGTTTGGCACTGTGTGGCCAAACATCAGACGAATGGAGGATCATGCCTACTCTGTATCACAACGAAAAGCGGCGGACACCGAACCCCCGTCATCTAAGAAGCGGAAACACGACGAGAATAAACGCAAGAGTGACAAGAAACGACAAAAAACACGGATCAACATTGGCACGGCATTTACACGATGGAAGTCACTGATGGAGGAAAAAGGTTTTCAAAGTGACGCTCAAGTTGCCAGTTTTCTCTTGGACAGGTAATTAATCCTATACACACAATTGTCTAATATCACTGCAGTTTTTGGAGTACAGGATGCTCAGACCTGTCTAAAACAATAACATGCTGCGTGATGATGCTGTTACTCTCCAGTATACTTATTCAGCAACGTCCCTGACGTTTCACAGGTAATGATTCAGTAATTTTCTGTAAAATAATTTTCTGGATATATACCTCGGTTACTTCTCTCCGGCTCCTTTGGAGATCTTCAAGCCTTTCCTCCTCTGCTCTCACCTCGCTGGCTCCCCTCTCTCGCCTGGCCCCAGCTGCACGGCCTCCCTGCCCTCGCCCTCTTCCTCGCCTTGTAACCCCCGTGCCACAAACAAGACTTGGACTCTGTAAACGGGGAATATATATTCTTCCAGCGAACACAATCTCGCTGTTAAACTAATGACTACAATTACTTCGTCTGTTTATATCACCATGCAAAGCAGCTCACCAAAACGTCACAACGACGTAGAAAAAATAACGGGTATATTTATTATCTTAAGTCTACATGAAATCTATACCCTACACAGACTAATGAAATACTATCTGTAAAATTATCTATGTAAACAAACCTCATCACTTGAGAAGGTAGGTGATGCGGACGTCGTGGAAGACATTTTGTCCCGTAACGCTCGCCGTACTGTTGGGGGGGAGAAGCGGTGGGGGGGAGACGTTCATGTTGCTGCAGTCTGCAGTCTGACCGCTAGATGTCGCTGAAAATTACACACTGTAGCTTTAACAGACAATGAATTTAAATAGGTTAAGAACATGATTTTGTCAAAGTTCATGGGCATTGAACATTGAACTCCATTGCAATAATCTAAAATCCTATTACATTTCCATATTTTCTAATACTGTAAAAACCTGGCAATAATCATGCAATAAACACAATATTTATATTAGTCACAAAGAGATCAAGATAAAGAATCTATTCAAGTTCAGTAATTATTTAAAATATTGAGATTTTTATGTAACTTATGTAACAAAAATAATTCCTCGACTTTCGGCAAATACTATATTGTAAAGCCAGAAAAAAAGAAAATTAAACATAGTTTTAAAAGCTATACATTTTCTCATGCAACTTGTGATATTTTATGTAGACTAATGCTTGTATTTGTGTTGCTTAATAAAGAGCAGGACAAAATAAAATGTATAATATGCTCTGCAGTAGACATGTTCTCCTTCTACTTAGGACTCTATTTTTGAATTAAAATAGCAAATTATGTTTACTGTACTATAACTGCAATAATAAACATTCATTAGCAGGGATTATTATTATTATTATTATATAATTGTCCAACCTTCCATTTCTGCTGTTTCTTATCTAAATGATAAAACAATGATGTGTCTTTTATTCAAAGAGCAGCCAAATTTGGCCCCCATGCTGTTGTTTCTCTGCATCTGTCCTGTATCATTTCATACTAAACAAACTGACCTTTTTGTCTGCTTGTCATTTAGTAATGCCTTACAACAGTGCACATCACTGCGTGGTGGAGGTGGAGAACTTTCTGCTGCTGTTGGGTGGAGAGGACCAGTGGAACCCAAATGGTAAAGCACCACAACACACCACAACTAATTTCTCTGTGCAAATGTTTTTCTCTCCCACATAATGTCCTCAGTTTGTGTTTGTTCAAATCCATCTGAGGTAATTTACTTTCAGAGAATTGTAAACACTTGTTCTAGGGTTAGATCACCTCTGAGTGGACAAACAACACTCCTGTAAACACTTGTCAATAACGGGGACTGGAAAGTAACTGCTGTTAACGTTAAAATATGCATGATGTCAAAGTGTAAAATATATATTTTTTTAAATGCTTCAAATCTGAGAGACTAGATCTGATTTAAACAAAATTCTGATACTAGTTTTTTTACTTCCTAAACATGAAAATAAGTTAATTCAACTTAATACATTCACCAGCACCTTTATTAGGTAGACTTCGCCAGTGTAGACCTCACTATTGCCTTCAGAACCGCTTAAACCTTACTGTAGATTCAACAAGGTGTTGTCATTCCTGTTGTAGAGGTGTTCTGTTGGTCTGAGCTGTGCTTTTTGTGCAGGTCATGAACATATATTTCATTTTCTAGAAGCCATTCATCTTCTTCCACTAATCCATCGGGGTCACCAGCAGTCTATGGGGGAAAGGCAGGGTACACACTATGAACATGTCACCAGTCTATCACAAGGCAACACACTGACATACAACCATGCATGCACACCCTTTAGGGCAATTAAGAGATGCCAGCTAACCTAACAGTCATGTTGTTGATCTGTGGGAAGAATCAGAAAGAACCTAGGCTGGAAATCAAACCCAGGTTTACTTGCTGCAAGGGAACGAACTGTGCCAGTGTACAGTTCTGTCCAGAAACCAGTCTGTGATATATTTGGGTTTTGTGACATTGGGCATGGTCTTGAAAGATTCAAAATAAAAGGCACTAAATTGCAAGTGCAGTTTTTTTTTAAATATGTGCAAAAAGTGGGTGTGTTGTGGGTGATCTACAAAGATTGCTGCACAAATATCAAGATGTAAAAAAACGGTTTGGTTCCACCTTTTAAAATGAGCAGATTGTGTTTTGAGTGGCCGTAAAAGAAAGATGAGATTCAATTAATATTACTCCACTCTTATTATTTCTGACAATCTAAATATGTTTACATGCTGACATAATCTCTCTCCATCCTCTAGGGTTGTACCAATGTGGCAACAATGACCACAGATATTTTTGCCTGGTAGTTTGCACCTGACTTTGAGAAGAAGTAAAAATGATGCAAAATTGCTTTGCACGTGGTTAATGTTTACATTTACATATCCTTCATCTAGGAATTTGGCACACTTATTAGACACACACAAAAAAGTTTTGCATATGCTGTCTGCTGAACTGCAAAGAAGATTTACTATGCACATTCAAACAGGTTTGCACCTGTTTTAAGACATGCGATCTCTTTGAAGATCAGACCCCTAGTACTGTACATTATCCTGCTGGAAGCACCCATTAGAAAGAAGGGTTAATAATGATCAAAGGGTGATGTCAGCATCAATACTCAGACAGGTAGAGCTGTTTTAACAATGTTTAGTTGATGTAAAGGTCCCAAAAGCGAATATCTCCCTATACCATTACACCAGTAGCAACGTAATGAGGGATGGACCTGGGCCATGATCCATGGCTTTATTCTGTCGCTTAAAACTAATTTTTACCAAATGCATCAAGACTCATCGCACCAGGCAGCAATTTTCCATTCTGTTATTTGTCCTTCATAGCCTCAGTTTTGTTCTTCTCGTCTGCAGCAGTAGCCCACTGGCTTTAAAATTCAACTTGTTTAACCTTCACTGATAATATCCCACAAGCCTTGGTTTTGATTGAACTACTGCTGAGTGGATAGTTTTTTTGTTGTTGAACATTTCTCTGTAAATCATAGGAATGCTTCAGCTGAAAATCTAATTTCTCTAGTACTTCTAAAATACTTAAACTAGCCCCTTTGTCACAAACAACCATGCCACCTTTAAAAATCATAGAAATTGCTAGCCTCCACATAGTGATGCTTAGTTTTTACTTCATTTAGTTGTTTTTATAGCATTTAGATTCCTAAATCCATTGAGTATCTGCTGATTTACTACATGTTTTAACAACTGGACATGTGTTATGGGGTGTATTTGCATCAAAGTTAGCAGGCTGTGCTTACTTAGCCCTGGGGAGAAAAGGACCAAGCAGATATAATTATGTACTGTATTGATAAAGACATTCTGTACATTGAAAATCTTAGCACAAATGGACTTTAAACAAGTAAAACAATCATTAGGAGATCATCAAGATGAATCATTAAGACACAGGCAAGGATTCATATAAGTGTTTCAACTGACATGGTGTTCAAATGTGGAATAGAAAATGACAGTGGGAAAGTCTAGTTGGTCTTATTTAGAAAATATGGATGTTTTGCTTGTTAATTTTCCTGTTGGAACAGTGTAGATTGACCGTAAGGTTTTGGTGCCACCCCTCAGTGTACATTGCTTATTGCCTGGCCACCCTTATGAAAATTTTCTGGTTACGCCTCTGCTTTTAATAAAGTAAAACATTTACTTTTACATAATGAGTAAGTTATAAGAAGTAGATGACAAAGAGATAATTATATGGAAAATAAGTCAAAAGTACAGCTGTAGTACTACTTGTAATACCAAGAAATGTTCCAAATAAAATACTTCACTGCCAAGAAAAAGAAATAAAACAGAAGAAAATGCATAGAGATTTTTAAAACTACAGAGAAACAAAATGTTCAAGTACATATCCAACTAAATACTTGTTGAAAGAACAACAGCATAGTGTCGTCAGTAGAATGCAGTTATGACTGACCAGTGTACTCCACTGCTAAGGTGCATTTACTTAACCCTTAATAAGGCAAGTTATCTTTTTTGATCACTTGCATATGTGCTTCTTAACCTCAGTGAGGTATATTACATACTGTAAATTAAGTTGAAAGAAAAAGTTAGCAAGTCAAGAAAAAAAAAGGTAAAAAGCTAATTGAAAATTTTAAAAGTAAAGTTAAAAAGTTAATGAGCCTAGTTACCAATTCTATTTAGGTTTATAAACTTAAAATGTAAGTGCTAGTATCAGCATTAATGCCTCTAAGGTTATGTTGTACCCATAAAAAAAAAAAAAATGCTTTTCATAAATTTTTTTACAGAAGCACTTTTGTTATTTTCGGGCAAGTTGGCTTTTATTGTCATTACATTGACATAAATTTTTGGCAATTAAAATTTTCCATATTTTTTGAATGTTACAAAGGTATTAAGGACTTGTCCTGGATTCCAATAACTCTATTGGCTTGAAATTTTGGTATTCAAAGTATTTCATTGAGTGCCCTATAAACAATTAAAAGAGATAAGGCTGGAGGTTGGCATACCTCCAAGTCTCTGGTCACATGAACCGATGGTCTGGGTTAATGTTTAAGGCTTTTACAAGCCAGATCTATAAGGAAGCACACAATTATTTATTTTTGAATTAAAACACTCAGATCGGATATATTTTACAGTATTACTAAACCCATTAGTATAACGTTAACCAACATCTAATACAGCCAATGGAGAGCAGCTGCTAACCTATGCCATCATCCCTCTTCAGGATTTCATTTGACTAGTGATATACTCCAGTGTCAGCAAATATCAGATTTGACTTTTTCAAGCAGCTGTTGCTTATAAAAGGGAATGAGCTCATAAACTGCACAATAGAACGTCATAAGAGTTTGTCATATTACAGCAACATCATTTTAACAATGTTACCTTTTTAACTGCAACAGTTATTTTAATGCTTTTAATCTATTGATTTTATTTTTCAGGAAAGCACAGTACTAATTTTGTCAGCCGCTACGATCCTAGATTCAACAGCTGGATTCAGCTGCCTCCCATGCAGGAAAGGTTTGTACCTTTATTACTTTCAAAAGCACAGATCTGTTTTTTTTTAAAAACAACAGCAAAGTCACCATCACATAAGAGACATGGAAATACATTTTTTTATCTGACCATTTGTACTGACTAAGCATTTAACCTTTCTAAACCGTATTAATGGTTTATCAAGGATGCCTGCTGATAAATGAAGGAAATAACTACTATGCTAATTTTTTACTCCTGTCAACATGGTCTTGAAATGTTCCACTGTAGAATAGCATCTGTTGTGTGCTAAAAAGATAAGCTTCACTTTTAGTTTCAAGCAGTGCAGAGTAAAGCTCTGCACATTCATTGTCACAGCTGCATTGATTCTGTAGCAGACAGAATCAATGCAATCTGTGCAAAAGTTTCTATTTTAAAGTACATATCTCCAGATATTGGTGCTTCATATAATTTATTGTATTAAAAATACATATAGTATCAGAGTAGGCTGGCAACATGAAAAGAAAAGCTGTACAAGTGCTGTGAGAGCTGGTGCGCTCATGACGAATTATTTCCATGTCTGAAAAATCGGTGGCAGTGAGACTTATCCGATAATAAAATTGCACATGCTACAAAGTAAATAGATTAAGCGACATGGAGGTTGTCATTTCTTGTGACATTATGTCTTCCAGTGTGATGGGGGTTATAAATGATGTATTTATCATTGACTCCTCCTCAGGAGAGCCAGTTTCTTCGCCTGCCGCCTGGATAAGCACCTGTATGTAATCGGAGGTCGGAATGAGACGGGCTACCTCTCTAGCGTGGAGTCCTACAACCTGGAAACAAACGAGTGGAACTACGTGTCTTCTCTGCCGCAGCCTTTAGCGGCTCATGCAGGAGCAGTGCACAATGGCAAGATCTACATTTCAGGTTAGGAAAAAAGTGCTCAATTTAGCAGCTACTACAAGATCTCATAAGGTTGTATCAGTAACATCTGATATTATATTTTACATTAGTAGTTCTCAAACCTACTCCTCAAGTACTTGGGCCCTGTATGTTTTAGATGTCTCTCTGTTGCAGCACACCTGATAAAAATAATTGGATGACCTCCTTAGCAGCCTTCAAGGAATGTAGAAGCCTGCTAACCCCTCACTTATTTAAGTCAGATATGTTAGAATCTAACATCATGAAGTTAGATTCAGAAGTTTGAAAAATTGGAATAATATATTAAAATGAAATGGTAATTTTAATGATCTTTTTTTGGAAAACCAGGTGAAATGTGTCTGCAAACAGTTCATTCAGAAAATCTGTAATTTCACTGCACATACCAACTTTTTTTCACTGTTTAATGCAGCACCAGGTAACATGACAAGATTTTTTACATTGTAGGTGTGGCATATTTACATGTGCTTCCTTCCCATATTATAAGCATAATTTCAAATTTTTTTTGTTAAAACAAAAATTAAACATGAAGGTTAAAACAGAAATTTGTTAATGAAAGCTACTTTATTTATTCTTTTGTATTCTTAAGTTACAACCAAAAAGACAACGTTTTGTAATGGAGTTTGATGTTTTCAATCTTTTTAGACCACAAAATAAGTATATGTAAAAGTAAGGAGAACATTGGTGTTCAGAACCTTGAGAATCAGTCAGTTTTTCTTTTTGAACTGTTTGTCTCTGTAATCGCAAATACTAGTCTTTTGGGGGTAAATGTCTACCAGGTGTTTACTTTTAGAGGCCTTAATATTTACTCACTTTGAATAAAACTGTTGGTACTACTCATTTAACTGAAGAAAACCCCACATTCATCAGACATTGCTTTTAAACCATAGTTCAAAAGAACTATTAACAAAGGAAAATGTTACACAATTTCCCCATTGTGGGACAGTAAAGGGATATTCTTTTGTATTCTTGTCATGATCTGGCCTGATAACTCACCTTAATTGTTCATTTCACTGATCATACCATCAGATCATACCATCGCAACAACTTTTTTGTGGCAACCTGAAATTAATTGGAGAGGAGGAAGGAGGACACCATTGTTGAAAGCAAATAATTAAATAAGCCAGTTTTGGCTTCTAGGAGAATGTCCTATAGACAGATGAGAAATAACTGAACTTTTTGCCAAGACACATCAGCTCTACAGTATGGTTATAGAGAAAAAGTGAAGCATATCAAGAAAAGAACACTGCCCCTACCGTGAAACATGGAGGAGGCTCTGTCATGTTCTAGGGTTGCTTTGTACGGGAGAACAAAATCTCATGACTATGAAGGCATTTTAGAGACAAATGTGCTGCAAAGTATCAGAAAGCTTGATCTAGGTCACAGTTTTTAACTCATAGAAGTGACCTTCTATGAGCCAAGACCTTAATCTTATTGAGCATCTTTAGAAAGAGTTGAAACATGCTGTTTGAAAAAAGGCATGCTTCAAACCTGAGACAACTCGAGGAGTTTGCTATGAACGCCCAAATACCTCCTGAGAGGTGCAGAAGTCTCACTGACAGTAAACTAAATGGTATGATTGCAGTGATTGCCTTAAAAGCTTGAGCAATGAATGCAGCCATAAACCATTGTATTTATTTTGGACAATGCAATGTCCATGTGGATATTAATATTGATAATTGTTGTAGAAGGATGCAGTTTTTGCTCTGGACTCTCTTTTCCAATTTCTGCTAACCCCCTCTCACGAAGCTTGTGGAAAAAAGCCTTACCTCACAGACCCTATTTATCTTTCTGTGAATCTTGAAAGACAGTCACAAGCCAAGGACCAGAATCTGCAAACCGGTCAAAGGCTAAGTGGACCCGATAGCTAATTTCTGAACCAGAATGCTGCAGAAACAGACCGTTAAGCAACATTTCTCTCTAAGCTTTCAGGCACTTTAAGATGCCAGAGACTGGAGGAGTGGGGCATATAAGACCCAGCTTCCTTGCCCCAGGCCAGATATGCTAAGCTGCTAAACACTGGAGACAACTCAGCCTTTTCCAAAACTGAGATCAGCAGAGTTAACAGGTCTGGCCAAATTTAGGTAAAGAGTTTCCAGCTAAAGAGTTTGGATTCTCGATTATCTAAGGTGTTTACTCTTGTGTACAGCCATCTATCAAGAAGCTAATGGTGATCACATGGTACCCCATGCAGATATGGGGTAACATGACCAAAGAGTCGTTTAAGATGAGTCCCCTCATGTCTTTGCTGCAATATTACTGTGTCATTTTATTGATTCTGATGTTCAGCAATTTTTTATTCTTTCTTTGTATATAGTTAATAGTTTAATTGAGTTTCACTAGCGTAATCAAGAGTTTTTAGCTGAAATATGTTTGACTTGGAGTTAAATTATTTTGTTAATAAAGTCTCATGTTTTTTAATGGAAGTTGTGGTGAAGTTATTCGATATATGTGCAGTTTTTCTTTTGGCCATGATTTGAGCAAAATTTACACTTTCATTTCTTGTCCTCCTAACGCCAGTTTGGGGTGTATTTGCAGAACAATATGTACAGGCCAATATTTGCCACAACCACTGAGGTGAGCATTAAATATAAAGTTACTTCACAAATAAAAATATTTAGTTTTTGTCCAGGCCTGTTTCGTGAGTTTATTTTTATTTTTTTAATCATGGTTAAAAAGCAATATCTGACTTTCAGTTGTTAATTTTCATAAAATGTTTATTTCTTTTTTTGTCAGATTCAAGTTATTCAAGGTACTATTCATCACTTTATCTTTCTTTAATTAAACAAGGGGTAACAATAATTTTTTTCTATGTGTGAACTTATTCTTTGCAAAATAGGTCAATTTGAAGCGATCTTCTAATTTCAATATTTTCAAGTCTTAAGAAAGACTGATTTAGGTCTGGAGTTTTATTAGTCCATCTTAACTCATGAATATATGTTGATCTAAGCTTTATAATTACAACTTAGACTTTGTGTTTTATATTGTTCCACTAAATGGAAGTTGGTTGTACTTTTTTCCGTCCATATACCTATAAACTCTAACCAGTTTGTCCATCCTTACTAAGGAAAGTCCTCCCCACAGCATGATGCTGCTACCACTATGTTTTAAGATCCATTTGTAGAATCTTCTGGATCACAAACAAATTACTTTCTCTTTGAATTTATCACAAACATGTTGACAGAAAAGGCAGGAAATAAAAATCTACTCAGTCCTATTTACTCTTTCATCATCACAGCTACTGTATCTTGGTTCTCAATGTTTCTTTTGAAAACAGATGTATGCCTCAGGTGGCTTTCATTTTAATTAGATCCTTCATACAAAGGCAGAATGTCTCAAACTAGGACCTTTTTTCTCTTTAGAATTGGTAGCACTCATCATCTCTACTCCTGTGATTGTGGCAGCATTAAAACATGCAAACAAAGACACCAACCTGTTTTAACAAACAGATGGGAGAAGCAGCCACATCATGCTCTATTAGAGTAAAATAAACTGTATCTACTCAGCAAAAGATCCAAATATGTTCCTTTGGCAGCAAATGTGAATGGAAACAACTTATATAATATATAATCTTTCTTGCTACTGTAAAATAATCAGGCTTTGTCAATACTAGGTTAAAAAAGCATCTATATTTCCCTGTGAGTCATAGAGGTACTTCACCTAGCTGTATAGACTGTGATGCATAAGCACCAAGCTGTATTTTCACACTGGAGTAACAACATGGGTTTGTGTTTGTATGTTTCAGGAGGCGTACACAATGGCGAGTATGTGTCCTGGCTCTACTGCTATGACCCCGTAATGGATGTGTGGGCTAGAAAACAGGACATGAACACAAAGCGAGCTATTCATGTCTTAGCTGGGATGAACGATCGTCTGTACGCCATTGGTGGAAACCATTTGAAAGGTAAGCAGGGAAATGATAAAGGGTCACGATTTGTGCTCTCTTTATAAAAATCATGTGGCAACTATGACCTTTATCTCTCGATGCAGCCTAAATTTCCGTCATTCAATTTGCAGAACTTCAAACTGAATGATGTAGTGCATTGATTTAAATGCATGTATTGCATTGAAATCTCACAAATTCTTCTCAAATATGGTTGCAGTTTAGGGCTTAAACAGGAAATCGTCTTAAAATAGTTACTCTCAATGTATTTGCTTGTTTTTTTGTAGATGTTCATACAGGCCCTGAAATACGAATAAATCAATGTGCTGTGTTAAAAATCTAATGAAATGTACAGTAGTGGCCATTCAAATTTCCTCACTTTCCCTAATGGGCTGTTGGCTGGTCCCCTACAATTCCTTTTTAAACATCAATCTTTGAACTAAAATATTCTGTCATGATTTGTGGACATTAATATTTGAAGATAATCACCTTCTCCTGGTCAGACCCTGTAATGCATTCAAAGGGTGGAGTAAAAAAAAAAAGCACACAGGAAAAATTGTGGGTCACTCCAGTGGCTGGAAGTTGGAGGGGATTTTGCTGGGAGTTGCAGGGAATTGGGCTAGCATTCGACTGGCATTTGACTGGGAAGGGCCATTTTGAATGGATGCTACCGCACAGTGAACTATTGGTAATTTACATTTTTATAGATACTGTAGTTGTGCACAACTAAAAAGTTTTTTGTTTGCTTTTTGAAGACAAGTTTTTTTTGTGGTGGTTGCTAAACAGGGTAAACAATTATTCCAGAACAGCTTGAGCATTTGTGTTGCTAAATCTAAATTGTTGGACTGAGTCACTTAAGGCAACCCTTACCAGCTTATCTGAACAAAAGCAGTAGAAAGGAAATCAAAGAAAAGAAAATTTGATACAGAAACTGTCAGGTTGGGTGCAGGTTTGAAGGGGAGCCAAATGCAGAGACAGAAGCGGGAGTGGTTTATTGCAGATTTCATAATATATAATTTAATCCAAATGGTTGCAACTGATGCAAAAATCCAAAAAGAATGAAATGCTGCAAACCACCCCAAAAAAAGGAGACATCAGGGAAAACACACATGAGGAGAAAGGATGGACAAGAAACCAGCATTGAGAAACTGTGCAGGAAGGGTATAAATGGGAGACTGAACAAAGACTGGGCTAATCAGCAGAGGAGGAGCAGGTGTGGATGGAAGAATCTAGAAGAGAGCTGGGGGAAGGACACTGACACAATGGGGGCAACAGAGGGTAAAAAAGAAATGCATAAAAACTCAAATACAACCAGAAAACAACAAAAAATGGAAATGAAACCAATGAGCACTCAAAAAGAAAACTTAAATGAAACCAAAAGCATTACAGAAACAAAAAATGAATTATACTTCTAGGAGTTTTTTTATTTATCTTAATCTCAGGATATAAGGCTAGATACATATATTGCCTGAGCAATTAAGGCATTTCTACTTTTGTTCCTCCTTTTATTTGGACAGGTTTCTCCCATCTCGATGTCATGTTGGTTGAGTGCTACGACCCAAAAGCTGACCAGTGGAACATCCTCCAGACACCTATACTGGAGGGGCGCAGTGGTCCAGGATGCGCCGTTTTGGATGACAGCATCTTCCTCGTGGGTGGCTACAGCTGGAGCATGGTAGTTAATGTATTTTATAGTAAATAAAAGCTTAACTATTCTGAATTTATCTGATGACTAATGGTTGTTAACACACCATGCTCTGTTAGAATAATACAATCTGCTCTTGATAGTAGACTGTGATGCATCCATACAATAAATAACCGAGACATCAGAAAGTGTGTCCATCTTATTATAGAGCATCCAGCATTTACAAGAGTTCACAGCCTGTAAAAGAGAAAAGTTTACTTTATGGGACCTCATTTCCTAACACTGTGCTTCCTGACTGCTAGGCTTACTTGTAATCTTAGCTGGTCTTAATCAATAGCTGTCTGATGTTCTCTCACGTTTCTTTTGTTATCCCTAAAAAAAGTACAAACTGTTGCCCTTAAATGCCCTTTAATTAGTTAGAGATTTTTACACTTAATTTATACGAAGCTTTAGTGAAGGCAGTCATTGAAGGTCTCACATGTTTCTTAGTGAATTTTGAACTAGCAGCTTCATTAAAACCAAGGAAAATGGTTATACATTTTCTCAAATTGTTCTCTAAACAAACCTTAGAGGCTTTCACATAGATTGTATTTAGTTATATCAGAGATTAAACACTAATACATGCCACACTCATCAGAACTGGATTTTTTCTTTTTCTTTTTGAAAATGAGCATATTTTTAAACCTATTAATTACTCGCTATGTTCTGTTGGTAAGTCACATAAAATAGCAATGAAATTCATGGAGGCAAAGCTTAAAAATCTAGACACGAATAGAAAATGGTCTGATTGTCTGTTCTTTAGGGGGCCTACAAGTCGTCAACCATCTGCTACAGCCCAGAGAAGGGTACGTGGACGGAGCTGGAGGGAGAAGTTGCAGAGCCTTTGGCGGGCCCGGCCTGCTCCACGGTCATCCTGCCCGCTTGCCTACCATTCAACAAATGACAACTAATCCAGCCGGCGGGCAGTGAGGGGGACGGACAGCAGCAGAGTGATTGGGGGGAGGACCGCCAATAAACAAAGAGTCTTGTGGCAAAACCCCTCCTGCTTTAGCCCAGTTGTAGTGTATGAATTATTTTTTTACAGGTTTAACCAGAAACCAGAGCACTTTCGTTATTCTCTAAAAAAGGAGGGGTGGGGGGTGGGGGGTGGGGGTGTATTTGAATCAATCATCTGTTCTGAAAAAATAATCTGTTCCATACTTGATTTTATTTATTAAAACAATTTGTGAGTGTTTTTGGCCTCCCTTCCATCGCACGCTTAGTGTTAAGCTAAACAGCAGCATTTCAGATCCATTGTACTTCGTACGCAGCCCATCACCAAATTAACTTTTAAGGAGCAGGCGAATTAAAAATGTATAAATATTCAAAGGTTATGTTTGTAATCATTGCTTTCTGTCGGGATTGTTCACTTATCTATCAAATACGTTGTCTCCTTAGTAAATTGTACATATTCTGACATGAGAAAGGGAACATTTTCAGAAAACCTCTGGCAAACAGAAAAACTTGTCTTAATAATGTACACTCTTTCTGAATTTTATTTAAGTTAAATCTTCCCAGATGTTTGTGGCAACTACCCTTGACGCCACAAAGAAGGCATTTTAAAATCACGACGGATTACTAATGTGGTAATGATGCACTGAAATTGTGTAATGATCAATTTAGAGATGATATCCAGTATGATTTTGTTGGTAAATATATGTGGAGATCATTTGGGGAGTTCAGTTTACAAAGTTCACAGGAGTTTGTTAATGAGACCACATGGTTTAATTGTTTAATGTGTTAAAAAAAAAACATAAAAAAAAAAACAAAAGTATACAGTGGTCTTTGATGCACTTTAAATTCAGCAAAGTTCACTGATTTGTAAATTAAATCAATGTGCTGTGTTAAAAGATATCCTCAGTGCAAATGAATCCAGTCTTGTCGCTGTTATTATAAAACTGACTCTTAATATTGATGCTCTTGAATTCTGTATAAAAACAGTTGTTTTCATTTGTTGTATATAAATCGCCTGCAGTGAAACATTTTTGTGCACTCAACCTTGGATTTATTCTCAAATCCTGTTATGTATTTGGCATTTTAGAAAAAAAGAAATAAAATGATTGATGATCAAAATGACTCTTTTAATCTCTGACAGTATCCTTCAAATGTGAACTTGGAACACGTAAGTTAAACATGCTCACCCGTCTGTTTTGTTAGAAAGACTTAAAAATGTGTGTTCTTTTGCAAAATCAAACTCTATCACTATTTCATTAATCCAATCTTTGATTAAATTTTTTCTGTGGAGAAATGTTATCTTAATTAAGAGATATACTATTTGTACAACCGCTGTCAATACTTTTAACAGCCCGCTTTTATAAAATGGCAGTACTTGTGTTACAGCGTTTCACATGGTTTATACACACACAGCGACAGTAAGACTACTGTTTGCACATTCTCTATAGATCGTTCACTTATCGGCTGAGGTATAGTTTAATAATTGTTTTTGTTTATTATCAGTTTCTAACAAAAAAATATAGGAAAACAGAAAAGAATAAAAAAATAAGCTTGAACACATGCATACATCATTATTACTAATCAAATTAAACACTACCACTTAAGTACTGAGTACTTAAATAGCATTTTAACCAAGTAGTTTTTTTTTCTCTATCTTTAGATACTTATTTTTGTTTGTTAAATACAAATAAATTAAAGTAATGCTATTCTCTTTCCAGTTAATCTTTTAGACTACTTTGCTTCCCTCTATGAGTTGTTAGAGAAGAAACTTGTTATTTGGGCATTGTTCAGTGCATATCAACATTAAATAGGAATTCTTCTTTTGGGATTTACCTTCTGAAGTACCTTTGTGGCTTGGGAAGCTGTGCTCTGTAGGAAACCTTCGTCTGCAGAAATCGGCCGTCAACTGGAGACAGCAAGTCATTAATGTTTTGGGCCATTTGACACCAGTACATCTCTTGGCGGTGTGGCGATGGCAGGGATCTGTTTCTCTTTGCTACTCTCTGCTATCATCCCAGATGTTATCTGGCCTTCAACTCCTTTTCCTTCCTCCTTAACCAAAGCCAATAACAAAAGTTTTCCCTCTCTGTCTCCATTGCCAGTTGTAGTTAAATTGCTTTCCAACCCCCTGCTCCTGTATGTCTGTATCATAGAGGAGGCGAACTACTGAGGACCTACATCCCTCATTAACTGGCTGTGTGATTGCTTTCAGCCTGCCCACATACAGATTTGGCAAACCTTTTCTAATTGGCAGCTTATATACTCTCCTCCTCTTCAAAAGTGAGCTCCACCAGCAAGATGGTTTAAAGCAACTCTGACCAAATGATGACGTCAAGCTGGAATTGAAGCTTCTGAAGTCAACTCTTATGCTCCACTTACTGCGGGATTTAATAAAAAGTCAGTCAAGAAACTACAGTGGAATGCTATCTGTAATGTTCCTTTTTATAGAACAATTTTGCTTCGTCAACCACCTTCTCTATATGGTATGCTTGGAATGCTAATGATAATGAATGAATAATAATAAAACCAGGAGATGTAGAAAAATAGAAAACCACAAAACTATTTAAGGCAGTCATTCTCACTGCTTTTAAGAACAGAAATAGATTACCCAGGTCCAGAAAGTAAAAAAACCTGGCCTAACCAGAACATTAAATAAACCTTAACCTTTTTCAGTAACTCACTTTTCTAAGAAAAACACATCATACAAAATAAGTACCAACATACTGATGTATTAAGTATTTTCTTTCTATTAAAAATTATGATTCTCCATTTGCAGGAAATACAATTCAACATTTTTAAGTTTGGAGAATTACATTGGATTAATTAAAGCAAACATTTTCTCCATCCATCCATCTTCCTCTGCTTATCCGGGGTCGGGTCGCGGGGGCAGCAGCTTAAGAAGGGAGGCCCAGACTTCCCTCTCCCCAGCCACTTCTTCCAGCTCTTCAGGAGGAACCCCAAGGCGTTCCCAGGCCAGCCGAGAAACATAGTCTCTCCAGCGTGTCCTGGGTCTTCCCCGGGGCCTCCCCCCCGGTGGGACGTGCACGGAACACCTCACCAGGGAGGCGTCCAGGAGGCATCCTAAACAGATGCCCGAGCCATCTCAACTGGCTCCTCTCGACGTAGAGGAGCAGCGGTTCTACTCCGAGTCCCTGGCTGGGGAGAGGGAAGTCTGGGCCTCCCTTCTTAAGCTTCTGCCCCCGCGACCCGACCCCGGATAAGCAGAGGAGGATGGATGGATGGATGGATGGATGGATGGATGGATGGACGGACGGACGGACGGACGGACGGACGGACGGACGGACGGACGGACGGATGGATGGATGGATGGATGGATGGAGTGTTTGCAGAGTGTAATGACATCAGAATCAAAATGGCTAATTTTCAAAAAGAACTAGAATTGTATTTTGAAAGGAATAAAAATTTTCATTTAGGTCCAGAAATTCAATCAGACAATTTGTGTTTTACTTTCTTTCAGTTATATGTCAACAAAAAAGTATTTGAAACTTAGGTAAAGCTGCTTTTGAGCATTGCATGAGAGGTTATCCTAGAGTAAAAGATATAATGGAGGATGCTCTTGTTCTGAGTGCATCATCAAAATAAGTGGTCCTCCTAATTTTCAATCATTCTGGTGATATGTTTACGTAAGGCCGTCCTACATGCTCGCCCCATTTTCACTTACCGGTGGTGAGACTGACATAGTGGAAAAATTGCAAATCTTCTTTTGGAAAGTAATTATTTTTTAAATATAAATAAATAGTTAAATAAACAAACAAAACAATTACAATATAATCCACTCTTTATGGAGGGATTCAACGAGCAAAGAAACACGCTCTTCACCCTTATATCATTTATTAAGTGTTTACTGTTGACTGCCGAATGCATGTCACATTCATTTGTTTCACTTTAAAAAAGAAGCACTGTTTATCTTTTCAGTCTTGCTTGGCATCTCCATTTCATGCATCCTTTTGGCGCATTGCCTAGAGGACAGGACAGCAGCTACTTCCTCACAGAGATGATTCTGCCAGATCACATGAATCCATACATCTCACCATTTGGCTTAAGGAAACTTACAAATACGAGGAGGACTTTATCTTTCTAAAACCCATAAACATTTCTGATAGCACTTCCAGTCTACAGATAGTTGAATGATTAAGTGATATATTAGAGCTCATAACTAACTGTCAGCAGAACAATGTAACAAAAGAACAACAGTGATTTGATTAAGACAAAGACATCTAAAGCTGTCTGTGAGGAAAATCAAGAAATTTAGACAGGTAGCAACAGTTTTAATGTGAATGTCTAGCAAGTGTGGATTTGAAGTCTTTATTTCTCCTTCATTGTCGGTGGCAGCAGATGGTTTCTCTGCTGCTCAAAGTCCCACTCATGCTCAGCCTTGGGAATAACAGGATTGGTTAAAAAAGAACACGAGTGACCTTTTAATTATTATATAACCATCCTGGCACAGCTTTAATCAAAGACAATTATTCTCTGTAATTAGTTCTACTGTTATAACTCTACAGAATATAAAGAACCTCCCGCCCCCCCACCCTTAGAAAGAGCAACCAATAACATCTATAAGAAACTGTTTCACACCAACTGCAATAATGCCACCAAACTTTTGACCAGTATCTAATTATTATTTTAGTGTGCTTTCTCATTCAGAATGAATATTTCATCTGTGCCTTATTTTTCAACTTTTGTTTTAACCATGGAGCAGTGGGTAGCACTGCTGCCTTGCAGCAAGATTCTAGGTTCGATTCCCAGCCCGGGGTCTTTCTGCATGCAGTTTGCATGTTCTCCCTGGGCATGCGTGGGTTCTCTCCGGGTACTCCGGCTTCCTCCCACAGTCTGGAATCATGACTGTTAGGTTAATTGGCTTCTCTACAGTCCCCTTAGGTGTAAGTGTGTGTGAATGGTTGTTTGTCCTGTTTGTCTCTGTGTTGCTCTGCGATGGACTGGCAACCTGTCCATGTTGTACCCCGCCTCTCGCCCAATGAAAGCTGGAGATATGCACCAGCAC